ACCAATCGGCTGAGTTGACAGAGGGTGTCGGGGACATTTTAAGGGGAAGACCTTAGGCAGGCTATTAAAGGGCATTCCTGTGGTGCGTGTATGACAAACATTGGTACTTGTGTGAGATTTTATTCTACAGGGACAAGGTCCAGGACCACGTAGATCACACTGTGCAATAACCAGGGCTGCGTGACTCCAACCTAGGCCCTGAATTGCACCCTTTTGTCAGTGATGAGCACGAGGACACTGGGGCAGTAGTAATGTTGCTGCTGCTGCCGCTGGAGTGACACAGGAGGGTTTTGTGTTGGCATTGTGCCCCGTCGTACTGCAAGGTGATATTAATTTGCTGCGTCAATCTCTCTGTGGAGGCTTAGTTAAAAGTACATTTGGCTGTCCTGACCACTAATTTACCCGTATAACCTCTGTTCCCTTTGAGCAATAGAATCTTCCTATCACTCTAGGAAAGTCCCTCATACAAATTCCCATGCAGTTCTAGACCCGACGCCTCTGGACGGTACCACCCCTGAAATTTGGTGAGCAGCGAAGTCCTGTTGCACCTCTACTCGTGTTGATCCGCGCATTGTGCTGTTCCTTGTGGAACAGTTTTGTTTACCTCTTCTTCCTGGCTGACTTCCCACTTTCCTTTCTCCAGGCAACCCGAGTTTGTCCTGGAGGAGCCATATTTCCACAATGCCCTGAATAGTCTGTCTGGCTTTTTGTCATATATAGATACTATTTTATAGCATTTTGTATAATCATTCTTTCCCCCCTTAAATGATGAACTCCTTGAGACAGAGACCAGATCGTATTTTGCTTGTAATTCTAGTGTATGTTTGTTTGCTGTTTAAATGGACTAGTACCTCATAGTTAGGGTGTTGGCCTCGTTGGTCTCTCAGTGTACCCCAGGGGAAAAATGGTGGCAGGAATTAGGAAAAGATAGACAAGAAGACAAGAGCTGGGTCAGTTGGTGGCCTGTTGCTTGATTGGCAAACTACTCCCAGAACTACTGTAGGGGTGTTTATTTATACCTTGGCAAAGTTGGTATCCTGTGACACGAGGTTGCCTAGCAACTAATAGCTGACAGTGATCAGGCAGGGTGCTTTTTTTTAAGACTGAGGAAGCTTGACTGCTTTGCGCACTGTGGCTCTGTCCTGCTGCCCTCATACATATGAACATTTTCCCTTTTCAGCCACTCCCAATTTAGGGACACTACCTAAGCCTTTAACAACGATGACACAATAGATTTGATTGCAGGAAACAAAAACTCAGGTGTGAGCAAAGATTCATGAGGGCATCCTGGCCCTTGGCAAGACCACGACCCAGCGAAGCCCGAGGGACCTCTCCAGTCGTTTCTTGGTCCCCCTACCTGTCCGACTTGTTTGCTCCCTTTTCTCATTTGCCTCCCTGAGCACCTCTGCCTTTCACCTCTCTGCTTGCATTTTGCAGCAGCTTCTCATCCCAACTTTGCAGCTAGCCAGCCCAACTTATCACTCGCAAAGGTAATAGTCTAACAAGCTCAGGGCTGACCAAATAGCCTAGTGGATTAAAGCACCTGCAAGCAGGGTCAGGGGCCGGGGGTTCGATCCCCAGGCCTTCGTGCTGGCCCCGATCCTGGGGAGCGCTGAGACAGCAATTGAGACTGGGTGTGGTGGCGTGTGCCTGTAATCCCAGCTCTTGGGAGGCTGTAAACAGACAGATCACTATGAGTCTGATCTAGAAGTGAGAACCTGAACACACTGTAGAACCTTCCCTAAAATACAACCCCCCCAAGTCTATCAAGCTCATGTGCACCTTAAAAGTCCACTTCATGGTCTCATTATTGGCCAGAGACTGGCCTTGGGGTCACAAGCCCAACATCCCTACGCCAGTGAGCTAAGAATGTATCCGTAGAATGGTAATTTAAAGAGCATCACCTGACAGAAGGGTGGGCAGGACATCGATAGGTTTCTGAGGTCTCTCTTATCCCATTGCCAAGAGAAACCAGAAGTACCTTTCTCTATCTTTGCTCACAAATATTTTTTTCTTATTCTTCATCTCAGGAAAGTAACCTCTCTGTTTAGGATCTATAGAGTTAATGAACATTGAAACTAGAGAAACCCCAAGGTTTATTGGCTTGTGTGTGTCCCATGGAACACTCGGTCCAAATGATGCTCCATGACAAAATGTCAAGGTATTCTAGCAATTTCTTGGGCTCTTAGTTCACACCAAGGAGTTAGCTTTCAGAGGCTGAGGAGGACTACCTGCGTGACTGTTCTGGTTACTGTTCCACTCATTCCTGAGTTCAGAATACCGACACCCAGAATTAAGAAAGGAAAGGTTTATTTAGTTCACAGCGGAGGTTTCAGCCCATACTCCGCTGGCTCCAGGGCAGACAGAGCAGCTCATGGCAGCAGACAACCAGAGCAGAGGAGGAGCCGCAGCTGCAGCGCCTGTCAAGCCTCTCTCACTTCCTTCCATGCGACTGCAAAGACCGGAGCTCCTCCGGGGAAGCGGCGGCAGCTGCTGCAAAGATACAAGCTCCTCTGAATTGGCACAGCTGCGAAGATCAACCTTCTCTCCAAGAAACTTTTCTCAACTTCTTTATATACCCTGTAAGTGCTGAGTCACTCTAGGGCAGGCCCTCCTGCTGTAGGGCGAGGTCCTCCATGCCTAGGGTGTGGAGTCACTGAGCCAATCCAGGTAGGCTTCTGACCCCTCACACCGACACAACGTGTCAACCATCACAGTGACTCTTCTTGAGAGAAAGACAGTTGTCTCCGTTTGGGCCGAGCCTGACCCTATTTCCACATACTGATATGTTCAGAGTTGGCTAGACCTTTTTCCTGATCCCTTCAACTGGCTTTAAGCAATGCATATTGGTCTAGCTGAGGTGTTGGTGGTAGTGTTTGAAGGCAGCGTTCCCTGGAACGCTCACCTGCTGCTTCCTAGTGTGAGTCAGGTCCGGGTTGGATGAAGGGCCAGTGCTCCACCCCGTGGGCTGGGATTGAGCCTCCCAATAGATGCTAGCTCGCTTGTGTAGTGCACATTACTCTGCGCATATCCTTCTCTCTGCGTATCGTAGAGGTGAATGCAGGCTGCCTACCCAGCCCAGCTAATGTCGCCACGTAGTTCTCACTGTTCCCACAGTCACTCACCCTCAAGCCACTCCTTTCTTCATGAATGAAGGAAACCTGGGTCCGGCCCTGGATCGAGGCCTTTGTTCTGGGCAGCCATCTCCATGGCTGGAGTTAGGATCCTTTGGTTCCCCGTAACCACAAATATGCCTTAGTGCCTTTATTCTTGCTGTGAGTGGCACTGGGCATGGTAGACTGGAATTAACTTGATGGGATTCCAACAACTGATACTTCCCAGATTGAGACAAGGACTAGGAAGGGCTTTCTATACGAGGCCGGGTTGGCTTGTGGGGGGCGGGGAGGAGGGAGAATCTTGGGTCCTCTGTATATATGAACCCCTGCAAAGTCCAGGCCCTTCCTATTGCAGGCCCTAAAGCAGGTTGTTCTGAAAAGGCTCCACAGGAAGCCAACAATAGACCTCTTAAAATTGTGTGTGTGTGTGTGTGTGTGTGTGTGTGTGTGTGTGTATGGGTGCACACGAGCATGATTTTAGAGTGATTCCATAGCTTTCATCAGATTCTCTTTTTTTTTCAATTTAAAAAATTATTTATATTATTTATTTGGTGCAGGGTCTCACTACACAGCTCAGACTTGTAGTGACCCTCCTGTCAGCCTCCCCAGCTCTGGGATTACAGGTGTGCACCACGACGTTCGGTTTTGGTGGCCTGAACGGTGTGCCCAGGGTTCTGAGGCCAGCCCCGCATGTGGTAGCAGGGATCAAACCTGTGTCCGTGCGCTTGCCAGGCAGGTGCGTAGACCACCGGGCTATCTCCCCAGCCCAGATTCTTGTGGGTAAATATGACTTGAAAGAAAAAAAAATTAGATAAAATTTCTACTTAAAGAGGTAGAGGTTGACTTCCTGCCTAAGACAGAGCTCTTTGTTCTTGTCCAATTTAAGCCCTGTATCTGCCGCCCTAGATGTCCATCGAGCGTGTGTGCACAGGAGAAAAGCGATTTATATGACCAAGCTGAAGGGGACTTGTTGTTCTTAGGGGCCTTACCCTCTCATTTTTCTAGAGATGAAATCCTAAAATACTGATGTCCCAACGTAGGCTCGCTGATGGTACTGACAGTCCGCTCTGGCGAGGGATGTGTGGTGAGGGGACAGGACACAGCTGGGAAATTCCTAGCTCGTACCTTCTGCTCCATCCTGCTGAGAGTCAAACACTGCTCGAAAAATAACAATCTATTAAAAACAAACACTAAGGATCAGAGAAATAAAACACAATTTGCCTATGGCTAGGTAGCAGGCCCTCTGTTTGGTTAAGAGATCACCACCGCTGCTCCCCCCTTCTCTTCTGCAAGGGCCACTGAGGTCCAAGCACCGTGGGAACCGTTTCTGCATTAAATGCTGGCGCAACCCTTCTGCTGGATACTGCGATCCCATTTCAAATGTTCTTTTTCACAGGAGGCAACTCCTTCTCGGAGGTCTGAAGCAACTTGCCCAAGGGCTCCAGCGGCTTGGTCCTCGAGGCGGTCCCGGGAATCCTCGCGTCTGTGCTCTGCTTCTTTAGCGAGGTCTGTTTCTCTCGCTCGGGTGCTAAGCTCCAGCCGCCGAGGGATCCTCCTGCGCACCTTCCTTGACCTGCGATCTCACCTGGAGCTCCGCGGGGTCCAGGTGGAGCCGGACGCCGCCCCCTGGTGGCCGCCGGGCGCAAGGCCTATGCTAATGAGCCCGCGGCGCCGCCCGCTGATTGGCCGGCGCGGATTCCAGCTGCTTCGCAGGTCGGCGGGTGCGCGCGAGAGTCGAGGGGCGGCCGGCGGCGGCCCGGGTCCCGCGCCCTCCTCGCTCCGCGCCTCCGCAGCGACGCCCAGGCGGGGCCGGCTGCGCCGCCAGCTGGGCGGGGGGCTTTTCCCCTAATCTCGCGTTTGTGTTCGGATCGCGAATTCATCCAGGGTCCGGGATGACGATCCGACACCAAGGCCAGCAGTACAGGCCGAGGATGGCTTTTCTGCAGAAGGTAACCCCGGGGGCCTCCCCTGGCCGAGGCAGGGGGCGGGGAGCAACTCCGGGGGACCCCTGGGAAGAGCGGCTGGGCGGGAGGGAGCGTCCCTGGGCCGGTCTGCTGATTGCATCCAAGGACTAATTTGCGTCGTGTGTGCTGCTTTTAAGGGCTATAATAAGGTTTCTGTGTAAACTGTTTGTAGTGGGGAATCTGCGGCCGGCTGCGATGGTCCGCGGGAGGCTGAAAGCAACCTGTTACTCAAAGAGGAAGGTGCCAGAAGGCAGTTGAGCCCCGGCTGTGTGGGGTTTGAGACAGTGTGCAGGTACTGTTAGAAGACACACAGTTGTTACATTAACATTTTGGGCCGTTTTTCTGATCCAGAACTATGTTATTTTAGACGGTGTGAGCGTACAGACCACGGAGATGTTGTAATCTGTAGGATCAAGGGCCACCTGACTTGCAGTGCCCTGACACCCTCATCTGAGGAGGTGTAGCTTTGCTATCTCCCTCTGGGCTGGTGGCAGAACGGTCGGGAAGCTTTCTGAGACCGAGGGACCGTGCACAGAATGTCCACCCCGGTGGACACATGAGAGGTGGATGCCTTGCAGAGTTATGAATTTGGGGGGCACTGCTTCATTTTGTTCTGGGGTTTGGGGACAGCGAGGGCCAGGAGGGAGGTCCCCTGGGGATTGGGTCGCAGGTCATTCGTCTTCCCTCCCTCCCATCCACAACCACTTTGCCCCACGCAGTGTCCATCTTCTTAGGCTTATCCTGTCCAGTGGAATTAGCTGAATGCTTTTTGACATCCCAGGTCCCCCGTCGAGCTCCTGGAGCTCAGCAAACTGGTGCAGTCAGTAACCGACTGAGCAACGGTCCCACTTTGCTCAGTGTGAAAACCCGGACAGTCCCGGGCACACCACGACAGCAGGTCCCACTCGGTCCACCAGTTTCAAGAAGGCTGGGCTCACTCCAGCCGGGAGAAGTGTGGGGACTGCCCATAAAACAAGTGGGATGATGTCTTGCCCTGAAGGGACCCACGGAACCCACACTGTGGCTGCAAGTTCCTAAAAGCAGAACAAACTGCCTAAGTCCAATTTCTGAAGCCAAACTTCACTATCTAGGTTTTCTCCAGGACTGCCTCCTTCCAGGCAGGGCAGGTGTGGCCTGAAGGTCCAGAGGGTCGTTATCTGGAAACACTCAGCTTCCTTATCGAAGCTTGCACATCCTCTTCTGTCGTGTCTGCTGTCTGATGTTTTCTCTTTACCTTCAGACCGTGGTTTACTCCTCCTGGTGCACCTCCAACCTGGGCCTCTATTTCATCACCCCAGCACTCTTTACCTTCCCCCCAGCCTCCCCTCTGACCCCAGCCTCTTCTCCCTCCCTCTGGTCTCGCCTCTCCCAAGTCCTAGCCACCACTCCTTCCGTGCCAGCCCAGAGCCCCTGCTCCTTTCCTACCTCTGCACTCCCTTACTCAGAACATCTTTCAGACACGCTCAGGATCTTCTTTCCCAAACCAATATGGATCACCGCAACCTGAACCCCCCACACGTAGGATTCAGCCGCCCTCCTCAGTCGGCCGCTCAGGGTCCTGCTCTGACCTGGCTTTCCCTTCTGCCTGCCTCCCACATCTGCCCTCCAGAAAGAAGAATGTGGTAATCGCAGGCTCCCAGCACTCTCAGCTGAAGAAATCCTTTACCTGTCTTGGAGCCTGGTGTCCTTTTACACCTCAGACTCCTTTGTCCCTTTGCCAACTTCCCACTCCTCGTCTTTCTGTGCCCTGCTCCTCAGCCCTTTTCTGTGAAGGCAGGTTCTGCTGACCCCTGAGCAGGTGAGTTCCTTCTGTGCCCACAGAGAGCCACCTGATCAGTCCTCACTGTTGCTTTCTCTGCTCTGGGCTGGGAACAAGCCTGCCTGCAGATCTGGAGATCCCTGGGCATGGCGCAGAGCGCCTTTGCTCTCCGAGGTGTACACAACAGGTCTCAAGAACTTGTGTCAGCAGATCCTTGAGACTTAACCAACTGGACTAGATGTCCAGCCTTCTAAAGAAGGGCCCAGACCAGAAGTGTGCATCTGGCGCAGGTGGCCCTCTCCACCCCAGTGTGTATTCTGATAAAGGCTGTGTCCTCTGCAAGGGGCTGATGGGCTTCATCTCATCTGCCCCCAGATGGGATCCAGAGCTGTAGACTTTCCTGTGATACAGGACCGAGTGGAGACTGTGCGGAGTCCTGGCTCAGTGTGTCCAGGGGACAGAACTGATAATTTAAGAATAAATGAGAGGCTCCAGGCAGAGAGAAAGAGAAGGATGCTCTAGACAGAGGGGACAGTGTGTACTAGGGCGCCAAAGCACAGGAAGTCTGGTGGGGGAGGATGGTGAGGACATACTGTATTGTACTGCAGTCAAGAAGTTTGAAGTATAAAAGGAAGGGTGGAAAGGTAGGTGGAGATAGAGGGGATTGTAGTGGCCCTTGGAACCTTTGATGGTGGTTTGATTTTGTCTCGTAGGGAGAGTTACAGAATTTGGAACTGTCAAGGGAGAGGGCAGATTCGCACGTTAAGATGACTAGTGTAAGAGGCATGGGTGTTGTGTTTTCTTTTCCTGAGCTTCAGCAGTTCACTCGGTGTCCTTCTGTGCCACTCATGCTGAGCTCGGCAAGGTCCTTCACTTCTGCAGTTGGTGAGGTTCCTAATCCGGTGTCACTTCTCCAGCCTGGGCTGCTGTTGGGGAGACCCGCCCGTCAGCCGAGCTGCTGACCTCTGGGGCTGTTGAGGCTTGGCAAGGGTAGGATCCCCACCTGGCTGGAGCTTTGAGGGAGGAAGCTGAGGACATGAAGTGGACTAAAGAGCACAGGGAAGTGGCCTCTGGTGGTGGCCTGGACACCTCTGTGACATTTAGGCCACCATCCCACCAGCTGCATCTGCCCTTGGGATTCACCATGGGCCTGACATTTTTGGTGCCATGGGAGAAGCCTTAGCCTTCTCTTGTATCTGCTGGTGTCTTTCTTGGGAAGGGACTGGGGAAACAGAACTATTGAGGCGATCTGGGCAGAAGGTAGTGTCGCTATCATGTGTCACCCTTTCATCTGTGTGCTTCCAAACTTGCCGGGTGCTGGGGACACCAAGAAGCTTAGGGTCTGTGGGAAGGCAGATGTGTAAACAAAGACCGGAACGAGCCCCATGGGTTGGGGCGGACAGGTCTGGAGGCCATCCCAAGTGGGAGGGGTCAGGCCTATCTGGGGTAGGTTGCACGAGGCGGCTTGTAACTGTGCCAAGTTGTGAGAAACGAGTCTTTTTTTGGCCAGAAGGATGGGGAGAGAGTGACATCTAGGCAGCCACAAAACACAGATGTTTGATCTGGAGACTCCTCGTGGGGAAGGCCAGGCCTCGTTCTGGAGTTAGTGTAGACGGCAAGGATGGTGGGCTGTGAGAGCCCAGACCTGCTGGGCTTCACATGGCCTCAAGCGTGTGATGCCTCTGGAGAAGCTCGGTGATGCTTTAACCAGGAATGAGTAAGGTCACTTGGCTTGCATGTTCCAGGCAACTCCAGTGACAGGCTAGGAGCGCTTCTCAGTGCTGGCTGCACTCTAAAATATTGCGATCAGTTGCTGTCCTTAAGATCTTCTGATTCGTTTGGGCTTAGGTGGAGCCCAAGGGTTGAACCCAGAGTCTACACCAAGCTGTGTCCTTTGCTCCTTTAAAATTTATTATGGTTAAAAATTTTTTTTTGAGGGAAGTCTTGCTAAATTGCCTGGCTGGGCTTGAACCTGTGATCCTCTTGCCTCAGCCTCCCAGAGTGCTGGGATTACTGGCGTGTGCCACCACACGCAGCTGCATCGGTCTGTTTAAAATAGCTTCCCAGGTGATCTGAAATATGTGGCTGAGAGGAGAACCTCTGGGGACACGGGCAAGGTCTACATAGATTCTGAGTTGTCACATCTGGGAGTGCTACTCGGGTTAGAGATTGGGGACACCATTAAACATCCTACACTACACTGGATCATCCCTGGACAAAAGATGAACCTGCTTCATGGCTGTTGTTGAGGGTCTTGGGCTCAAAAACTGGAGACTGGTACAGGGAGATAGGCGGAGCCTGGTATTCTAGGAGAGAGCACTCACCTTTTCTCGAGGTAGGATGAGAGAGATGCAGTTCAGAGACAAGCTAAACCCAAAAGCACGATTGACAGAAGTTGGTCACTCCTGCTCTCAGTGGGAATCATCACTTTGGCCTGCTTGGCTTATGGCCAGGGCAGAAAGAGCAAGTTTTTGGGGGGCGAGGTCAGGACACACTGACTAGGTCACAGGATTTGTGAGTGTCTTTGAGATGCTAAGGTGACCTGGTCACAGCTTGGCTGGACTTTGCCTGGCCAGGCTTTCCCATGAGTATACCCCGCTTCTGTTAGAAAAGCAATAAAAGTGATCTGAGGTTTTGGGTCACTTTCCTTCTCTTGGCATAGAGAAGTCATAATTATTATTGTCCCCCTGGGAACCTTCTCCAGTTTAAAGGAAAATTCCAGCCCCCGAGATCTTCTGAGTGAGTGACAGCTCTTTAATTGGAGGAGCAGTGTGGGCGTGGTGGGTGGGTTGTCAGCCATCAGAGCCAGGGCTTCGGGTCCCTTCCTAATGTTGGCATCCCTGGCATATCTGCCTGCATGCCTGCCGTCACACCCCGGCAGGTGGGCATCTGAGGGAGATGTGGGGCTGTCGCTCCTTCTCCTCCGCCTGTCCCCCTTCCCCGACGCAGATCATACAGAACCCAACTGTGGCACGGTCACGGGGCATTTCTGCGTGGCCTGGGAGGGAGCTAGAGAGCTGGTGGGCGTAGGGCACTGGCGCTTGCTCAGGGTCAGGGCAGGCCAAGCTCCCTTCCCTGCAGGGGGCAGGGAGGAGGTGTGAGTGTCCACAGCAGTTGGGGGCACAAGGGTAAGGGTTTCTCTTTCTCTGGAGAACACGTGAAAGCACAAATCTGGGATCTGGAAGTCTGAGCCTGCATGTGGCTGGGATGGGCTCTTCTAGGGCCT